CCCCAAAACCCCAAAACCCCAAAACCCCAAAACCCCAAAACCCCATATCTCCACTCTAAACTTAGATATTTAATTTATATATAAATTCATTAATTTTTAAAGTACCATATTTTTCTTTATTTTTGTGCACATTACTACAAGTCCTTGGGAGTTTGAATCTGTGTTATTTTGAAAATACTGCCTGAAGAAGGGATTTGTTCAGAAGAAATTTTATTTTAACGAGTTATTTTGGAGGCTTGCCAGCTAAAGAAAACGTGAGAGTTGGAAGAGAGGCTCAGAAAAGTCTGAACGATGTTTGACAAAGGCTTTAGAGTCTAGTAGAATTTCCAGGTTTGAATTTTTGGCATTGAAAGTAAAATTAATTTTAAATATTTAACATAATATATCAGGTAGCGTTTATACTAAAATTATACAAATTTCCACTATTACTTCATTCTTCTCTCATATCTTTACCGTAATACAAGTGATCATGATGATTATTGGAGTTTTCCAGAGAAATTGGTAACTTTTCTGTACATATTATATCGCTTTCTAAGTCATTCTCTTTCAGTGCTCCATTTCCTTCATCTAAATAGTAAGTTAAGAACTAAAACAATGAGTTGGCTTACTAATAATTGTAGAATTTGAGATATTAGTCTGATTGTTGTGAACAACCTGGTCTTGAAAAGCACTGACAAATCTGTTTGGATTAAGTCTATAAATGTTAGCAGGTAATTACCCTTTCCAAGTATCATGCATAATAGGACCGTTTAGCCTATTTTGATAAGTTTCTCTAGCTATAGAGGCCTATTAGATTATAAAAACTAGTGTTTTTTGGTGAATGAAAGAATCTTTTACCTTTGTGAGTATCAAATCCTAGGTATGTAGAAGCATTTACTGATATTTCAAGAGTTTGATCATCATCTCCATATTCTGGTATATCCCTGTCCCAACCGTACCCAAGAGGGTGGTCTAGGGCAATAGAGCTGTAGTTGCGCTTAGGTCAATAACTCTGTTCCCCTGTCCCTTTACTTTCTTCGTCAATCATTCTAGAAGCCATGTTCTGATGGTCTTGAAATTTGCAAAACTCAGAAAATTTAGAAGAATATTTCCTTGAGTTCATAAGCCGTGATTTAAGTGGAGTATTTGCTGCATATGAAATATGTTGTGGGGTATTCACATTCCTAAGCCCACTATTGACAATAGGCTTAGATCTCTTGGTTTTTATTTCTGAGCTACCCTGCTTCATGACTATATAACCATTTTTTATCAAATTTTATAAATTTTGGAGGAAGAAGCTAACTATAAAAACATACTTAATCGTGGCATTGATCTGTTCAGGTTCATCTTAATATTCTGAATCGATCCAGTTGAAACGTCTTTGGCTAATTTGAGTAAATTCACACTGGTATTGACTCTTGATCTCCTCAGAGCAGAATTTGAGCCCCAGCGATGCTTCTTGATTATTTTTAATAACTCCTTATTTTCCGTGATTTATCAGCTCATTTCTGGGATGTAAATTTGAGGCCGATCCTCGGGTTTTCAAATGTTCATCCATTGACTTATGTAAGTCTCTGGCTACTTTGAATAAATTCACTGAGTTTCCATAGCATGGCTTGGGCTTTTTAGGTTTAATGGACTTTCTATATTCAAAATTAGTCATTGAAAAATCTTATTGTGGAGGACAAATAATTAGAGAAATCACTTACAGCTTGTGGTTAGAAGCGAAAGAACCAACTTGGTGGACAATGATGCCATTATCTGTAGACCCTCTACTCTTGAGCTCTCTTGTGTTAAGGAAAATACTCTTATTTTTGTGATTTGATTGTTGAATTATTGTCATTATTGGTCCTGTTTCTTGCAGTTTTCTTAAGAATACCTACTATATCTTTTTTCTCCAGTGAACTCTTTCCAGGCTTAGAAATCTTGGTCTGAGATCTTTTGAACATCTTTATCTTACTGATGGGCACTATTTTCTCCTTAGAGATGTTAGTCCCTTTGGAACTTTGAACGTTAATGTTGTAATTGACTGAATTAGCAAAGTCTTCAGCTTCTTCAGTCTCATCGCTTTCGGAGCTATTATTAAAAGAAGAAGACTCGCTCAAACTTTCCTGCTTCCCCATAAAGTCGGATGTTTTCTTATTTTAGATAACTTTGGTTATCCTGCATGTCATCGTTATTAATCGCTAGTGCAAATGGCATCGGGGAATCATCAGCACTGCTCTGTTTTCGCAAATCCTGGTTCTCAACTGCATCTCAAAAGGTAGGTACGCCTTTTCTGTTTTTATTTAGAAGTGCCGAAATTACTTGCGAAGCGGCTAGACTCATCTTCATCAGTGATATGCTCACCTATGGGGGAGATCACTTGAAACCCTTTATCTTCATTTCACTGTTGATTATCTTGGAAATTTCCGCCAAAATATAGCAACTTGTTGCTATCACTGGGATTTCTAATGACTTCAGAACTTCTTCGGCTCGTAATGTCATAATTAGACGCTCGGCTGCCAGGCTGGATTTTAAAAATGGTGGACTCCATCTCACCTGAGAGTTGTCTAGCAATAAGGTAATCAGTATTCTGTTTAACCATCAGAAGTCTCTTGCCCTCTCCCTTATCCTCACTTGGACATAGTGAAGTCATTTCTTTCTGAGTCACCTGGTTCTTAAAGAGTCTTGGTAATCGTGAAACTATTTATGCAGGTTGTTCGTCTCTTGGCCTAGAAGTTATAGGCAGGCGCTTACCTTTGGCAGTCCGGACGGAGTTACTTGAGATATTACTGCTTTGAGTGATGTTGTTGGTCAGGATTGGCAGATTCATTGGGTTAGAGAAGATTTTTGAGCGATTTCGGTTCATCTTTGTTATGTAGGTAATTTATTTTAGTTGGGATTTGTGAGGGGTTTTGGGGTTTTGGGGTTTTGGGGTTTTGGGGTTTTGGGGTTTTGGG